TTTAGGGTGCCCTTTTCTTGTATTTCGGCTTCAAAGGGACCCTTATTATATTGAAAAGCGCAACCGGTGCGACCTCGTCAGCGAAGCGGGTGGGAAAAAAACCGCAATCTTAAGCTCCAGAACCCTAACTATAAGCCCTGGAACCCAAACCCGTAACCCTAAAGCCGAAACCCTGACTGAACCCTAGACCCTGAAAACCGAAATGCCCTAAGCTGGGATTCCGAGCGCTCTCCCCCGAAACGTCGTGCCAGCCTCGCAGCCGCGAGGCTAAATTTAACCCTAAACCCTGGGGTTTCACAAGTTTGCTTTCGGCACATGGAGGCTTCAGGGTTAGGGGCTTCGGGGTTTCAATCGCATGCTGCTGTTGCCGTTCGCGGTTCTCCTGAAACTCCAAAGAACGGCTTGGAGGGAGACCAATGCCAAGAAACAATAAACCCTACACCCTAAACCCTAAACCCTATCTCAAGCTCATGGGTGGAGACGTGCTCCGGAGCCTGCTCTTGAAATTCGGTTGTCTCGGCTTAAGACTCTACAAAAAATCCCAAACCCTAAAGTGGCTCTAGGGCTTTGGGATTTAGAGCCCGAAAAAACAGAAGAACTCCAATTTGCTGTCGGGCCGCAATTGTAATCATTTCGAGGCACATACCCTTGAAAACCGTAGCCTGCAGCCCCACGTCTCCTAAACCCTAAAAACCCTAATCCCTAAACCCTCCACCCCGAAACTCGAGCAACCGCTACCTGGGAAAGCGCACCTTCGAAGTCGAAAGGCAAACGCGTGAAAGAACCGAAAGCCCTGACCAAACCCTAAGCCGCCACTGACAGCTGTGCGCCCAAGTTTCAGATCTTTGTCTGCGTTTGCCTTCCAGGGGGTGAGTGGTTTAGGGTTTAAGGGTTTAGGGGCTTAAGGGTTTAAGGGTTTAAGGATTTAAGGAGCACGGAAAAGGCCAAGATGCAACTTGCATGTATCCACTGCCGACCCTTCAACCGTGTTCCGGGACCCTTCAGATTGGACTTTGCTGAAAAATCATGTTTGAAGGGTGTTTCTTGCAGACTGAAGGGTGCTGCCTTGCCTCGAGAAGCCCAGAGTCAGCTCAGCAGCTCAGCCGAGGCCACATGCACCTGGCTTTGCAGTCACCAACCCTCAACACCTTAAAACCCACACCCTCAATTCCGCATGTGCTTCCAAGCAGACACTGCCGAAACTCCATTTTGTCGGCAGCTGCAATTGCTTGCACGTCGGCTGTCGCACAAGGGCAGCCCCGTCCAGCCCAGTGTGGTCATCATGTCTATGGAATGATTTACTTGTTTGATTTGGGCCGTGACCAGCTGCCCAAGGCAGTGCAGCAAAATGATCAGATTCATGGCTCCTGGACCTGGGGACCTGGGAGCCTGGGGGCCGAGCAGCCTGAGGAGCTGAATACTATGGCAGTTACTATGGAATATGCAGGATTTCTACCATATTTTGATTCAATAGGTAGGCTGCAAGGCTGCAGAGGCAAAACAGGACCCAGTGAATCCACGCCATCTACCACGTCGACGTCCAGCCATCCCCTGGCCCTGCGGCTCCTGTGTCAGTGCTAGCACTCGGCTGCCCCTGAGCAGCTGGCTGAAGCTGAGATTTGGCAGTACGCACAGCCATGTCCACTCCCTGGCCCCACTTTGCGCATCGCGCAATGTGCAACTCAAACGGCCGACCCTTCGAGTCAACATCACGACGAAACTTGACCACCAGAGGTATCTTCTTGAACATGATGGCTCTGTCCTCAGCACAGACATGAAACCCGAGCTGCTTCAGACTATGTTGCGGTGGCTTCCATGCACAGAAAGGCATACATGCGAACAAGGCACAAACGTGTACCCATCTAGGCCAAAGCCCCAATCAACAGAGGTATCGCCGATCCAGCCAACACCCACTTCCCTCTTGCGGGTGAATTTGAAGTCACCATCGGACTCATAGAGGTCGCTCTTGAGGACTTCTGCCTGCAACAGAGTCAGAAGGACATAGCACGTAACATCCTGCAACCTGCAGCTACAGCAGTGTCAAGCAAGCAGCCCCAAACCTGCATGGTGTACACAGGTGTGACGAAGCTTTTCGAGCAGGTCGGGAAGATCTTGCGGGCCAACGTGTAGAAAAACCCCTCTGCTGTCACCCAGACACTGCCTGGGAACTTTGACTCCTCCTGTGGCAAACTTGCCCACCACTGACTGTTGCCACCCTCGAGCTCTGTGGCAAGCTTCAGCTGGTCCATCCGCCTCAAGCAAACATCATCCAATCTACATGCATATGCATTCACACAGACTCAGATCTAAGTGATGCCTTGTAGCCCGAGCTGTGCCGAGTCGCAAGACAGGAGCGCTGAGGACATGAAGACGGATGCCACAGCTGCTCAGGAGGTCCACAAACTCCTTTGTGAACCGCTCCCTGAAGAAGCAGCCTTCCACCAATGTCATGTTCCTGACAAGTGCCCAGGTCTGCACACGCCATCTAAAAGACACGGCAGCTGTGTCGTGCACATTGAAACGCAACCCACACATTAACCTGTCCTTTGTTCCACAGGCTGCCATTGGCCAGCAGCAGCAATGGGGAGCTGCTTTTGACCCATCTTCATGAGGCCCGTCTTCTTCATAAACGACTCCGCAAAGCTTGCCACATCGCCAGCATAGAAAGCGATGTGGAGCAGACTTCCGTCTTGCTGAACCGGGAGCATCCAACCATTCCACTCGGGACTGGAATCCTGAAGAAGGAACGGGCAAAACGATTGCAAAACGATACACGTTCGCATTGGCTAGCTGCATGGCCAATGCTGTCAAGGCGCCGCAAAAGACTGCAATGTACAGCCACGGGCCACGCCGTTGACTATGTACGGGTTCAGCAGCACATGCGCATACCCTCGCTCAATCGTGAACTGCTCGAGCAACTCGCGCACGCAGCAGGACAACTCGGATGTGCAAAGGCTGGCAATGAAAGTCTTCTCAAACTCTTGTCAAACCCATTTATGCGGCTTCGGAACAACCTGGTACTTTTGCGGGACGCTCTGCCGAGCTGGCAATTGCGACAGCAGCTGCGAGAGGCGATCGTAAAGGCAATCGTCCTGGAATGGGAAGCCTGGGCTGCTTGGCTGTTCAAAGTTCGGGATATGGGTCAAGCAGCTTCAAATGCAGTGGGGTTATCAGTGTCAGTCAAGGTAACATTGAATGCAAGTGGAGGGCACCGTTGCACCTAAACATGTCTTGGATTTAAGCAAGACTCGCACGCTGAGGGCATTGGCAGCCTGCTGCGTCCTCACTCCGTCGGGGAAGAACGAGCTTCGGAGGCAGTTGAACGATGCCAAGCCCCAGGTGAAATGCACGCTGGTGTCGTAGGTGGCCTTCAAGATGTCCGGGGCCGTCGAGATCGCCCTGCCGCATGGATGCTGATGGTTTTTTTCATGACTGCCCTGTTCACCCTTGTCCATATCATACTGAAACAACTCAGTTAACATATTACTGAACGACATAAGGGTCACGTGCAGTGGGCCTGAACCGCATCTGCATCGATGCGGAGAATGCTTGGCTGCAAAGCTTCGCCCATGACCATACTCACTACCTCCTCAGTGGCATTCTGGAGGTCCGACCGTGTCGCCATGACATCGGCGGTCTGCTCCTCGGGCCATGCAGCTGAGGCCTCTGACCGGGCACCACCGAGCGCCCCAAGCATATGGATAAGAGAGGCAACACCTGGCTGTTGGCCCTCATTGTCCGTGCTGCCGCTGCCTCTCATGACGACCATGATGGCACAATGGGGCAAAGACCAATGCCGAGATCCGATCCTGAAGTCCTGAAGATCTGAGGTCCTGGGGCCCTGGGGACCTAGGGACCTTGAGCAGCACGACAGCATG